TTCATCCACAGTAATAGAAGCCCACATAATTTGAAGTTATAAATACTGTGAATTGATACAGTCCATGAATAAATACAGTAAGAAACTTTCTGCCTTCCCAACTATTTGTTCTCCATTATTCCTCTTTGATTACTTTTATCAAGTGTGAGCACTACAATGTTCTTAAAATTCTGCTTTTGAAAATAAAAACTGAGCTTCCAGTTGGTATTTTCCCGTTGCAGGGTTTTGCCTGTTCACACAAGTCTTTGGCTCGCAAGAGAGTTCAACTTCCCCCAAATTAATGCACTTAGTTTATTCCTCTTTCTGATGATTGCCATATATAGAAAAGAATTTAATTATTTTCATTGGGCACCATTCTCCGTCTCTTTCTTGGGGAACATGAATGATTTTATTAACTCCATCAACAACATGTAAGCGGAACTTCCTAAGGGTGGCCGAATTCTATTTGAGAATATCACTGGGAGGTGGGGAATAGTTGAGGTTTGCTGAGATAAACTCCTTTACAAGTATGATACTGTTGCTTTATTTTTTTTCCAGTCTGCATGGTGAAAAGGACTTTTCATTTCACTGAGGTGAAAACTGGGTCTGCGAGTGGAGCGACTTTCTCAAACAAAAAAAAAAAAATCAGAAACCAATTACTTGATATGCACAGCTGAAAGCCTCATTCCCTTAACAAAATCAGTGCAGTGTGCACTGCTGTTAACCTGAGGAAAGCGGCTGACATCTCTTGATTACGGCTAGAGGTGGAAGGACCCAAACTTGCAGGATCCCCCTCCCCCTCGAGAGATTGTTAGTCCAGTCCTTCATAGAGGTTCGTTTTGGCTCTCTGTCATCATCGGGACGCTGGCAGGGGCTGTGTGTCATGGTTACAATAGAGTGTGGTAACATATAACAACCATGAAAGCCCAGCGGGAAAGGCTGCAGATTCCGGGGCTGACCTTGGAGTAAGTATTGTCTGTCTTTAATATTTTAATGCTTTCTGCATGGCACTCGCTTTCCTGCAACCAATAGCTCTTTAGCATTTGTTTGCACTGACAGCCTCAGAGCTCTGCAGTGTGAGGTGGAGGAACATGTCTTAAATGCATGGCATTTGGTTTCAGCTAATGTGGAGACCTGGACCCGGCAATTTGCGTTGCAGTCAGAGGAAAAACCCTGCTGCATTTTTAAAGTTACTAAACCTCAGTGCTGGAAACATCTTAACAGCTCATTGTGAAAGAATGTATCAGCAGGCCGTGGTGTGTCTGTCTTTTTCTCCTTCTCTCTTACTGTTTGTTTATCCCCATGCTGCCTTTTTCTAAAGAAAGGCCTCTGTCTGCATTGAATAATAGAAAACATTACAATGGATGAGAGTGCAAGAGAAGGGTTATTTGTGACATTCATTAGATGTGATCCATGTTTTATCTGTGCAACAGAATATTAATGAACTGTAGTACATTTTGGGTCTTCTCTGCAGAGTCTCCAGCCACTGCATGCAGTGTGTTTACCTAGTTGGGCTCTGTTTGCTTAGCTGTTATTTTTTTTTTAACCCATTAACTCATATGACTGCCTTCAGATTTGATGTAGCCACGTGAATATGTCCACATCTAATTCGTGGCGCAGAAGTTAAACATCTGTGATGCAGGAAGTGTCAGCAAATTTTTATTTTAAATCTGTTAGTAAAGATGCAAAAACTGTGAGTTAGTCAGTGCTGGCACACTTAAATAATAAGCAACAAAATAATTCTGGTAGAAATACATAAATATCCCTTCTTCTAATTGATAATACAGATAAAATATTACATTTTTATTGAAATCTTCTGTAGTCCCAAACATCTCACACTGGACTATTTCCAGGAAGAGACTGCAGGAAGATAACTGTGCCCAGTTCTGTGTGTTAATTATTCCTCTTGAATTCCGCAGATGCGTCATACCAGGGAAATTATTTCCTAATTTAAATTAATAATAAGACATTTCTGAAAATATTTAAATACTTTTCTGATCAGTCCTTGCTATAAAATTGTACACTAATTGTATACTAATGAGTGTTCACTTTCATAAAAGTTAGAGGACTCTTGCTAGATGTGGCATTTTTCATAATAGAGATACTGTTTCACACATCACCCTAATGTTTTCTCCCTGTCTCTCTCTCCAACCTAACATTCAACCCTTACCGTCTCTGTGGTCTAATTTAGAAACATGCATTTTTTCTTCTACTTAACCTTCTTCCCCTAGCCTTCTGGAAGTTCATAGCTGAGATGCCCATAGCTTTGTGTTCAAGACAGGACATTAACCCCCAACTTTGCTTTCACTTCCATTTTCACTTATGCTGCTTCCTTGTTGATTTCTTTGAACTTAGTATGTATCATCTCACTTTCAAGCCTTTTTTTTTTCTTTTATCATTTAGTATCTTGTCCGTGATAAAAAGAGACACTGAAATGTAAATTCTTAAATACAAACTCACTTGTATCAAATATCCATTGATAATTTGAAGGACTTAGGTATGCCACAAGTTTTATGACTTTGCCAATGATGACACAGGACATCTGGGTCAGCTAACCATGGGGGCTCCGTGGATATTGTTTTGGCCTCAGGCACACCCCCTTTGTCTCTTTGGCCTCTACCTGGTAAATATTACTGTACATTTAAAATAGATTACTCCTCTGTCAGAGGAGATTGAGCCAGGAGAATAATGAATCAATTATTTCTGTAGTGCTACAATGAAATTTACTTTGATCATTTTATTTACCTTGAAATGTAAACTTTTAATTACAAATAGCTAAATTTACATTCACTCATAGACAAAGTTAATTCTGCAGTATTTGAATAAATTCAATTTCTAATCATTGTAGAAATGTTAAAATGAAAAGACAGCATCAATTATATTAAATGTGTATATATATACTTTTAAATATAAATGTATATATACTTTAAATATAAATGTATGTGTATACTTTTAAATATATATATACTTTAAAATATATATATACTTTTAATTATTTTGAGACTTATAATAGACCAAATGTGTAGAATAGTTTTTAGATATACTCTCAGAAGGTATTATTTTTTTAATGAGGGTTTTTTCCTTTTAAAAATATTTTTTTGTTTTTAAAAATATTTTATTGAAATAGCATCACAATATAACATTATATAACTCTCAGGTATGTTTCATTAAAAATCAGTATATTACTGTTTTTACCTAAGCAGAGTTTATTCCGTGGGTACTGTACTGCTACAGATTATTACACTAGTACATTCATACTGTAGATGCAATTCAGAACTTCCCACCTTATCAATAATGTGAGGCAGTTTCTGTTTCCTTTTTAGAAACTGAAATCCTAGATGTGAGATCAAATATATGAGTATTTCAGAAATACTCAGTAATTTATTCAGAAATTTATGACTTGTAAATAATCTATATGTGACTTTCCATTTTCTGAGAAAGAAAGCAGATTGTTTTCTCTTCCTTTTTTTTCCAGTTTAAGTGTAGAATTAGGCTCAGAGATGCTTTATGTCTCAGTTTGGAGATATGGAGTGGCGTCAGTGCTTATGAATGCCTATTTTAGGACTGGAACGGGCAGATAAGACTGTACTTAGAGAAAATGATGGCCATATCAGTGGACATTCCTGAAAGTTTTCCAATGAGCTGCTAAGTTGGAATACAGAATGTTTGAGAGCAGCAACTTTTGAATGTGCTCTGAACATCTAAGGAAACTGATTCCTTAGTTTACTAAGTATTAATCAAATGAGCTATGGTGTTAGAAGGTATAAAACTTCATCCGTTGGAATACTATATTGAATAAATTGGAGAATTTTTTTAAGAAATAGTTTTATATCTCAGTTTAAGACAGATACAGCCAAGTCTCAACTATCCATACAATGGGAAACAATGATGACATTAAAGTGTTGATAAGTTTAGATCTGATTTTAACCACTGTTGCCTCTCTAGTCAAGGAAGGACACAGTAAACTTAAATGAGCCTATATCCAGCTCCATCCCAAGACTCCTTTCAGGTTGGAAGGCACAATATGATGAAGAGGTAGAAGAATGTGCTTTGAGAAACTCATTGAAGCCATGGTTTTTTCTAGGGCTCACTGGAGCCCAAGAACTGATCCCGGAATTCACCTAGCTAATTCTTATTCTGATTTTGCCATGCAACATAATTGGAAATTGACTAGCATTAACTACAAATTTTGATAGATGTGCTTGCAAAATTCATGTAAGACATCAAATTTAAGTTTATTTCTTCCCTAAAAAAAAAAAAAAGAAGACATATGAGGCCAAAAGCAAAAAGACGGAGTGTAATCTCACTTGGTAATGAATATTTGAGATTGGCTGGTGAATGTACTTGGGAGGGGAGGTTGGATGTGTTGGTGGGGGAAGGAATTAAAATGTTCCCCTGAGACATGAGTTTGAAAAAACCTCTCTGAAAGTAAAATAATTAATAGCTATATGTAAAAAATCCTGAAATTATTTATTGTGAATATAAGCACAACCACACTTTTTACCATTGCCCCAAAGACTAGGAAGCTTTTGTTGGATACTTTTTCTTCCAAAGTGCTTAAAAACATACCTTCCTTATGGAAAGGTTTGTTGCTTTATTTAAAAAACAATAATATTTTAACCTGGATTTTCATTTGTACTGCCTGATAACTATTTCCTTTTATTTCTGCTACCGATATCCCACTGATTCTTAATCAATATAATATACTCGATACAAAACAACACTCGATTTTCTTGCAAAAATCACATGTCAAAGCTATCTGCCAACTTGCTTTGTGACAAAGGAAAGGCACAAATAAAAATGGCAGCAGTGGTTTTAAGAATGTACTTTTCAGCAGGAAGCATTGCACTTGTTCTCAATTTTAGAGCTGAAAAGGGGCAAGTGATTAGATGATTGCCTAGTGGTGTTGATAGGCATGCCCTAGTGATTCTGGTCTAAAGAGAACACAGTCCTTAAGTGAGCTATGCTATTTTTACTGCCATCATTTCTTCCACTTGGAATGACGTTATTTTAACTTTCAGTCTCACTCCACGGAGCCTGAGTCCAACCCCATCCAGCCCAGGCAGTCCCTGTAGTCCTCTCTTCGCCTTCCACTTTTGGAGGTAAGCATGCTCCAGTGTCTGCCCAGGGCTAGTTGGTGTGTGCCTTCCCTTTCCCTAGTTGCCACCACAAGAGTTTAAACACTTGGGACTCTGCAATGTGTAATAAACAGATTTTCCACAGTGTCCTAGTGTTAACATATAGAATAAGGAAATTGGTTGAGTTGTTTATGTGATAACTTGCAGGAGCACTGAGAAAATGTACTGTGCTTATTCCATTTACTATATCTTACTAATATTTCACTTAGTTGTTTGACTTCTGTGTGTCTAGTACAGTTTTTCATGGTGCTTTCTTAGGAGATAACACTAAATTCCACAAATTTCAACCTATTTCTTATAATGGTACAGTTTACTACAATTCTAAAAAAAATTTCCTAATTTATGATAGAATGTCATAATATATGTTGCTACAGGTTCTTTTATATCCTGTTATTTATAGGATGAAACATTTAAATTGTCTAAAAAGATGAATATTTTTTCAATCTTCTTTAGAATTCCCGGTCACATATCCCCACCCTCTCACTTATAGGCTGATATAAATTCATTCTTCTCTTTTCTCTAGAGAAATGTCCCCAAGAAACTCTTCTTGCATTTTAGCAAGAATTCATGATAGGAAATATTATTAGTATAGTGTGTGTATAGTACTATGTTTACAAGAATTTTCAAGAATTCAATATATGTGAATCTTGGAGGTCTCCCCATATCTAATCAGAAAATATACAGAGTCCCCAGCGTTTCCCCGCTGTCACTTTTTAATCCTAAGAGGAAAAGTAGAATCAAACACTCAGTTGATGGAAAAAGTGACATAACATGGTTTTTATTTATGAGTACCTTTAATTTCAAATATGCAGATGAATAAAAAATTTGTCACCCTTGACATATTTGTTAAAAATGCTAACTTACTAGTTTTATGTTTAGATGATGTCAGTAAGATAATGTAACAAATTTGTTTCTCTCATTTTTCTAAAATAAGACTGAACCAAAATCTGGGAAGAATTGACAGGGAAAATGAGTTAATGACTATGAACTTTGGTTCTACTCTTCTGCTGATAGGATTTGACTTTCAGCATGAAAGTTCCATGTAACAGCATTTATAAAGCACCCTCTGAATATAGTAGATCCTAAAGGATAGGAATAGTTTTCTGATAAACTAAAGAAATTCCATTGTACTTGTAATTTGTCTATTTCTGGTGATGTGACCACAGGAAATTAGACTGTCTTCTGAACTTTATTCTTGCACATAACATGTCTTCATTAAATGCTTACATTTCCCTTTCTTATTCCTTCCTAAAGAAAATAGGCTATTCAAAACAAAGATGCTATAACTAGTGGAGAAGAAAAGAGAATATATGGCTAGCTGCTGGGGTAGTGCAGAAGGTTCAAAAAGTCCAGAAAGTGTTTTGAAGGAGGTGTTAGAATTGGCTGTGAAAATTCTTGAAATTTCAGTGGGTAGGGGTAGAGGCAAAGGACAAAACAAGACAGAATACAAGTAAGGCAAGGTGGTGAGCAAGTGTGACACAGTCTAGAAATGATGTGTATAGCTAGTTTATATGTTTGGTAGAGTAGAAGAAAAGCATGGAGTTGTACAGAGATTGATAAAGGTTTAAAAAAATTGATACCATGCTGTGGAGGTCCTTGAATACTAAGTTTAAAAGTTTGCATTTTGTTTTATAAGCATGCATGCATTAGAAGATTTTTTGAGTAAGGAAATGACTATCATTGCTCAGACTGAGCAGTGCTCTTACTAGCGTAAATGATAGCCTGGGGTTAGGCAGAAACTCCAACAAGAATGCTGATTTGGTATTTCCTGAGTAACAGGTCCTGGATTAGGAAATTGCAATGAATTAAATTGACATTTGGGAAGTACCTTATGTTTGACCAAATGTGCGCCTATATATTTTCACATTTGATTTAATCCACCTGTACTATTATTATAAGTCAGGAAGGAATGTGGCTTCTGTTTACAGATGAAGATGCTAATGCACAGAAATGAAATAGTTTAACTAGCCCAGGATTCTAAATTAATCCATTGTGACTAACTTAAGACTTAGACTTTGCTACAAGATCTTTTATGTTGAGATTTAATTATTGGTTTAGGTGGAACTTGTGACCCTTTTAGTCATTTTTATTTCCCCAACCCCTTTCTCAATGCCTGGGATATAACAAGCATTTGAAAAATGTTCATTAAAGAATGAATAAATGAATGAATTGGAAATAGAAGATGTGTTAATTACAGTGCTGTTTCACAAATCATCCACCAGATAAATATACAGTGGCTCAAATATAATTAAATTTTATTTCTCACTCACAGAGCAGGAGTGTGGGAGAGGATCTGCCCCACATGGTTATTTAGGGATCTAGGTGGCCCTTTAACATGTGACCTTCAAGCTTAAACATCTGGAATGAAAGCTCAGCTGATGGGCAGAGTGACAGCATGGGGATGATGGACATATCACGTCCACTTACTCCCGTTGCCTACCTTAGTAATCTGACTACACTCTAGGGGCCAGAAAGACTTACCGTTACTGCTTACTTGTGTTCAGGAAACCTAGAAAATGAATTTGGCAATAGCTGACAATCTTTGTCACAGAAGTTGTTGAAAGAAAAGTGTCCATAAAAGATGCTCAGTGGTTATTTTTTTTCTTTTTTAAAGATTTTATTTATTTTTTATTTATACAAGCACTGGGTACAGTCACAAGCACAGGAGGGCGAGAGAATTCACCAGAGCCAGAGCGGGGAGCAGAGCAGGCAGAAGGACCGAAGTACACTGCTGAGGGGAGCAGCGGGCGGCAGGAGAGGTCTGCACGCTATGTGGGACACTCCTTCGGTGGCCGGGGAGCAGCCGGGGATCGAACCGGCGCTACAGAGGCTGCAGGCAGCTTCACAACCCAGCGCTCAACTGCTGCGCCACCGGGGAGACCCTCAGTGGTTAATTTTGAATGAACCATTGATTCTCAAATTTCCAGCATTAATTGAATGGAACCCAAGAGAGCAGCATTAGAGAGGGAGGTAAATGTCATAATGACAAGTCTAGATTTGAACATATGAAGACACCTTTATGTAGGGATAGCTGCTTAGAATTAGGTATCTCTGATAGTGTGCCTCCAAGTGATGATCTAATATTATAAATTGTGGATATACTAAATATTTACACACACATAGCGAGCGAGTGAGCAAGAGAGAGAGAGAGACAGAGAGAGAAAGAGAGAGGTGAGAGAGCACATTTACTGTTTCTGCACAGATTTGTTTACCTTCCCTTGATTGTAATGGATCAGATTTCTTCTTTGTTCCTTTTTTATCAGTCATGTTAGAAGGTTTGGGAGAGAGTAATGGTGTTGAGCATTAACAATGTCTGTGCCCTTTTGAGGTGCTGACACATAGTTTCTAAATACAGCAATGGAAGATTTGGTTCCTTTCAAAGTAAAGCCTCAGAGGTAGGCTGCTCTGAGAAGTCCACGCAGGACACCGTGGGCTTCTCCAGCTCTGCCTTCTGGATGGTGGCCCTGAAATAGGAGATCTGCTGCTTCCAGGGCAGCTCTGTGGCTAAATAAAATTGAGGTGGGGCTTGGTATGTCTTGGGAATGAAACCTTGCACTGCTGCATAGAGTTCAGAGCAGGCAAATTTTGGCTCAGAAAATTTTCCAATAAACCTTCCTGAATCTTGAATGGGCTGCCTCGTCAGACTGTCAGCTTCATGCCAGTGGAAGTCTCCCAGGAAGCCTAATACAGAGGGCATTCCTACATGGAACAAAGTAAGACTACATTACTCCCCACGCTTCTTCCATCCTGAAATTCTGACACCCTTGTCTTTCAGCAAGACTGGAGAGAGACAAAACACACAATTTGTCTACAATCTTAAAAAAAGATCAGAATACTAGTTTATCAGTACCAGTGTGACAGAGAACATCTTGAAAATGTATGTATTCCTCATCTCTCTCCCTTCTGAGGCCACTCAGAATTCCCATGATCCCCAGCACTTAATAAATTGACTACAATTTGATGTCTGTTCATATAATGATGACATCAATGCCTTAAGGGTAATGTGGATGTCACCTGTGCCATCTTGAAATCTGGACTGTGACTAGATAACCAGATTCCAGAGGAAACTACTTCATTTCTGTTCTCAGTATCTTTTTGGCACCTCGCCTGCTTGTACTCAGTAGGAGCCCAGAAAGGTGCCGCAGGCTGCCCACCACTGCCCAGGAAACTTATTTCTGCTCTGACACAGTGACTTCCTTTTGCATTTCCTTATGCCCCACCTTCTGAGTGGATAGCATCCATTGTGTATTGGTTGCACTTCTGGCACTTCTATTTCATGTCTTCCCTCCTTTGAGTCACCTCTCCATTTAGCTCCTAGGATCCCCAGAGAGTAGACACACCATTAGCTATGCCTGATCTGGCGGTAGAATAGATCTCCCATTTCTTCTCCTTACAGCTTCCAAATCCCCCCTCTCTGTGTTTCATCTGTGACCAAAAACACACATACCCCATTGCTGGTAGGATTCAGTATTGCTTTCAGAGGAGAATATCACCATAGACTCCACAAGGACAATGACTTTTTCCATTTCTTTTGTACATATATCCATAAAGGCTAAAGCAACATCTGACATACATAGTGGAGGGTCCATTAATATATGTTGGTGGAATAAATGACTCTTCTTTTCTGGGATTCAAACCTGTTGTGATACTTTTATCTGTGCTCAAGACATGATGTACCCTTGTATAGTACGACCACTTGAGAATACTGCTGATACCTTGAGAGGTAGGAAATGTGTTTTGATTCTTCCATAAATACTAAATTATAGATGTCAAAATGTAACATCTGACCAGACATCAATTATAAATAAGGTTGAAGGATGAAAATTACTAAAGAACGGTGAACCCCAGAGTCTAGAGGTGGGTCAGTCTTGGGTACTCCAGACCCTACTTGGCTGTGAACTTCATTCACCTTACAGGACAGGCCCTAAAGGAATTGAGTTTGGGACCCTGATAAACCAGGAATC